TAATCATACATGGAAGTTGAATCATCTGATTCTTTCCTTTCAACAACAGTGGAAACACATGATGCGCTTCTTAAACCGGCGATTATTCGTTCTTTTGCATCGGCCTTCGAATATACCTAATACTATGATAATTTTCGATGAATAATGATAGATAAAATTTGTTTTGAAAGTTTGGTTTCTTAAAAATTGAATTGAAATTCAATTTTCAGTTCTGAGTGGTAAAACTACCCGGACACCATCAACGTCGAGAATATGATCACCTTCCTGATAACATTTACTCACAATGCTACCATCTTTACATTTCGTCACCACAACCTGATTATGTATTTGCTGGAAACCAGGAATACTTTGCGCATAAATATATCTGACATTTCCTACCAATTTCATTTCCGATTATTATAATTAATAGAAGAAAAAGAGAGAGAAAGAGGAAGGAAAAGAGAGGACAAGAAAAAGAGGGAAAAAAGAACAAAAGAGACATGTCAATATTTAAATATTTTCATGACAATTGTATATATTAGAAATGGAACATTTGAATTCGCAGTCAAACTGATTAAATTAGACAAATGAATTCAGAGTTCAGTAAATATGAACAATAAATATTTCAATCCACAGATTTCTTATAAATCAAGTATGAATAATTATTATCTCAGTATGGAGATATTTCTTACAAACGAACTACCCTAACAGATAAACCAAGTTTCATTCCATCAATGCGATGCAAATAAGCAATAAAATATTGATGATGTCTTTTTGCAACAAGTCCAATTTGTCGAGCTCTTAAATCGGTTAACGGTGACTTCCATAGTTTCCGCTCCACTTCTATTTTTACCATTGGAAATAAACGCTTTATCAACTGCAAAAACTTGGAATATTAACTAGAAAGTTTGAAAGTATGAAATTTATTTTCATTATGACAAAGCAAAAAAATTTGAGAAAAAATTTTAAAAGATTTTTTTTTTTGATTTTTACCAAAACTATAAATTACTTTTGTAACAACATGAATGAGTAATTTAAGGGTAAAATTAATGTATTAACATCATGGCAATTCTTTTTCTGTTCAATATTTTATTATTATTATTTTTTTTTTTTTGTTCAACAAATATCTGGCAAATATTAATAATTTATATATGTATTATTATTTGCTCACTTACATCATAAAATTGAACCTGATCTTCAACAACAACATCATTTATAGAAATAATTACATCGCCAGGATGCAATATCCCATCAGCTCGCATTTCTTTTTTTACATCTAATACTGTTAAATTTTTACCAAATTCAATTCCAAACTATGAAAAATGAATTGAATTATAACTTAACATTGCCTTGATTACATTTCTATATGAGTTTTCAAACATATCTTTTAAAACGATTTAAATTCGATTATAATATTTCTAGTAACAAATGATTTAAAAAATTAGAAAAAGTAGAATAAGAGGAAGAGAAAAAAAATTTGTCCAAATTCACAATTTTTTTGAATCAGCAAAATTAAATAAATGATTAATTAAAATAATCAATTCTACGGGTTCTCCCTCTTCATAATCAATTTGAACAGTGATCCGATATGTTGGTGGTATTAAAATTGACGTTGCGGCATCTTCCTCAAAAACATCATCATCTTCACTTCCGTCAAGCATTTTTCACTTTGTTCATTACAACGTTGAAAAAAGAGAAAGCTGCAAATGAGATTTTTTAGATTGAAACAAATTTTATTTTTATTCATTTCATTTCATTTCATTTTATTCTTTCATTTCAGTTACTTCCATTCATTTATGACTGCTAAAATTAAGCACTGCTCATAACAATAACTAATTTATTATTAATATTATTCCTAATCAATTTTATGAATGCATACTATATTATACTATAGAGAAAAATCTAAAATGAATTTAGAAAAGATATGAATTGCAAATTGACCGTAATATAAAAAAAGGTTTTTCTGCTGTATTGAAATAGTTTTTAACTGAATTATGATATTTTTTGTATGAATGAAGTCAACAATAATATTTGCTATTTCTCTAAACAATTAAGTAAAAATAAAAACGTACGCCACGAGTAAAGTATGTGAATACAGAAAAAATGGTAGAGATGAAAGTTGGAAACCGTTCTATCTTATCTTTTATTCACAAATGAAAGAAGAATACGTTAATTTTTGAAATTATTATTGTTCTAATTTAGAATAGAAAGATAATGAATGTATAATGACCGACTATCATTAAGTAGAAAATATAAAGTAATCCATTTCAATAAAATCATTCTTAATATTTTTTCTTCTTTGTTATAATCAGTTTGCATAAAATTTTTGAATTAAAATGCAGTAAGCAACCTATTAATATTTAAACTTGCTGAAAATGAAAAGGTTATGTTTGAGTAATCAGCTGATGGTACTTGGATAATTAATAATCGCAATAATCACATCATCTTGCCATTTCATTTCTCAGGATTTAAGCAATGTCTCGGTGATATTTTACGGATAAAATAAGTTTTTTGTAAAATATTTTCTCTTCAAAAAAAAAAAAAAAAAAAAAAAAAAACAAAACAAAATTAATTTATCTTTAAAGTTTCTGTAATAAGAGAAGAGATAACTAAACTTTGAAAATTAATTACGATTTGACAAAATTTTGTAAAACTTTTTGTTATTTAATTGAAAGAAAAAAAAAGAAACACTGAGAGTGTGATGAATTCGGTCTTTGCTCTAATTTGTTCTCTGATAGATGATAAAACTTTTAACATTTAATGTTATTTCTAAATGAGACTGAGAAAAAAAACGTTTCTACGTGGTACATTTGAAATGCCAATTTTTTGATACACGTGACGTGACGGATCTAGCCAACCTGTGGTTGTTCTCTGAATAAAATAAACGATCAAATCATCATACTTCTTTTTGATAGTTCATACTTCGCCTACTTTCCATGTTTTTTCGTCGAAATATTTGATACTGAACTTTCGGAACAAGTTATTAAATAGAATTTAACTGAAAAAAAAGTTAAAATGAAATATGACAATTCGATTCATTAAATAAGCCATGAAAAATATTAAATTATTTTAATACATATAAAGTAAAATTATTTCAAACAATTAAAACATTTTCTTTCTTTTTATTGCTGCATCTTTCATATCAATATTGCTCAAATCTTAGGTTATCCTTTCATAACTTTTCGTTAGATTAAATCAATCCGCATAAGTAATCGCATAAGTAATCACGCATAAGTAACCAACTAAGAAATGAGACATAAATCACGAAGTAAACGTTTATTTCAGTAATTTTGGGATGTTCGAAAGTCAAAACATTTGTATTATTTCATTAAGTGTAGAAATAAAAAGCAATAAGTAGAAGTTAAGATTAGGCTTAAGAAAAGAAGGAAAAAAAGCAGAATAAATAAAATATGAAATAATCAAATATGAAATTTGATATGAAATCTGATTTTAAAATTGTTATTGTCGAAGAAACAGTTGGTTTTTTTCTTTCATAATTGTAAAAATTTCCGTCATTTAGTATGAAAATGAATATTTTTTGAAATTCTATGCTAAATAATACAAGATGTACTTCAAAATTAATTATCAGTAAATTGTCAGAGATAATTAAAGGTGATTCAAATATCGATTAACTGATCTTGTGTTTCTTCATGTGGTACTATCAGGTTTAATTTTCAATGAAGCTTTAGCAAATTTTAGCACTCATTACTTTCCAACATTCAATGAAATCTGAATACATTTCAATTTTTCAATTTTATTATGGAATTATCCACTTTTCCATTTCTTTTCCTTTTTTCAAAAAATGCTCCCAAACTACTAAATCGATGATATCCAGAAATTTTTATAATCAGCTGAGAAAAGAACCAGTTTCTTCGACAATAGCAATGATAAAATTTGATTTCATATTTAGTCACATATTTGATGGCTATTATCACAATTATATTTCATGGGAAGATGCAGTCCTCTATCTCAAATACTTCAATTGTTCGTCCAAATTGTTCAAAGTTTCCTGCATTATTGGGTGCGTTGAATTCAAATTATTGTAAAAATTAATTAAATATAGTTAACTATCAAAAAAAAAAAAAAAAATGCTCTTTATTGTATTATTTAAAAAAAGTCAAGTTATTTTTCTCTAAAAATTGAAGTTGATCAAAACATATCAATCTTATTTAAATTATTATTATTATATATAACACAACTTCACCGTAAACTTTATACGGTTTTCTACTGCAATCTAAATGACAAATTACCGTAATTCTTTCTTCCTTATCAAATAACCCATACGTGTAATAGAAAGAGCAATAAATGTTTCATTCTTCAATTGAAACTGATTATTTTGTTTAACAAACAAACAAAAAATTAATTCGAAAACAATCAGTGATATTTTCGCTTTCGTAAATTTCTCATGTTAATTATGTTGTATTTTTAACACTTATATGTATATATATTTTCATTTTCCAAAAAGATTTTTCTATTTTCTATTTTATTTCTAATTTCCCTTAATTTATAACATTTCGTTCTTTATTTCGCTTTAAAACTTAAATATATCAAGGGATTTTACAACATTTTAATGTTAATTCAAATTTAGTGCAATTGTTAACAGTCTCATTGCAAATTTGAAGCTTTATTAATTGAGAAATTTCTACCATAATTTGTTTAAACATCAAGAGCTACTATAACCTATCATTTAAGATTTTATAATCGCTGCAATCATTTATTCAGAAATTTATTAATTATATAGGTTAATTCTTCTCTCTCATTTTTTTGTCATATCTAATTATTGAAATGTTATTTTAAGTTATTGCAAATATCAAAGCAATTTTATTGAAAAAGAAATTATACTATACAATGCAATGATACGTAAGAAATCAATATGTTTACTACAAAAATATATGCATAGTAGAAGTTATTTTTTTGAATGATTTAATAAATGCAAGTTAAAAATTAAAAATTTAGTTGTTTATTTTAAATAAATATCATTATTGTTTATATAGCAGTAGGTTTTTTCTCTTAAAAATTCATTAATTTTTTTTCACCTTTGTTATAATACTATTATTATTATTACAGATAACAGCTTTGTGGAATAATTTTCTGAATAGTCTAATGATAAGGTAACAAATGATTGTAATGATAAAGAATATAAGTATTATAAAAGGAATGATAATATCAAGCATATAATAAGATACAAATGACATTTTTCTGCCGTATGGGTCGAAATTCGCTATTTGACCAAATTCTGCAGCAAATTCAACATGCTTAATGAGTTGTTCCTCAGCTTGATTAGGCTTTTTTGCCATCATTTTTGATAATCTTTCAACTTTTTGGGCATAACTAAAATATGCAAATAAAGCAGCAAAATTTATTTATGCATAATTTTTTCATCGGCTAAAAAATCAAAGAGTAAGCTGCTAATAATTTAATTATAAAAATGGTAATCTAGTATGGAAGAAATAGATAAGACATATTATTATTAAATCATGCTTTAGTTTCTCTTTCATTCCACATGTATTCTGGAATATTTGGAATATTTTCAGCATTAAATGAAATAATTTTCATTCCTTACTTTTCTTTTTTTCTGTTTTTCTTCTTTATCATTCTTCTGAACGCTATCACTTCTTTATTTATTCAGATAAAAACCAAAAATAAAAAATAAAAATAAAAACAAAAAACAAAAATATCTTCGGTCTAAACCTGTTTACAAGCTACTAAATTTTGATCCGCAAAAAAGAAAAAATTAAGAAAAAAGAGAAAAACCCATAATGCAAAATATTCAACAAATGATTTAAACAAATCGCCTGGTAATATTTATTTCCAATATTGTTTATTTTATAAATAAAAATGTCTCTTTTTCATAACAGAAATATTTGAAAATTTGATAAAAGTTTACCTTTTGTCATAGATGATATTATAAATTGCATTTTTTATTTTTTCTTTTATCGCAAGTTCCGAAAGGGATAATTTGATACCAAGACCTAATCGTTGAACTAATACAGCATTCTGCATCTGATCACCAAATAGCGGTACCACAACAATAGGTTTTCCACGATTCAAAGTTTCCGTTATGCTATTCATACCACCATGCGTCAAAAATGCTATCAAATTTTTATGTGCTGAAAAATTTTTTGCATATTATTCTTAGATAATTTCATTACATATATACTAAATTCATTTGTCAAACAATCTACCTAACAAATCAGATTGTGGAAGCCATTTTGACGTAATCACGTTTGGACGTCCCTCAGCGATTAAATGCTCATCTTTTTCATACTTCCAGATAAATGTCACATTGGGAAAACTATCGAATGCATCTAGAAGTGCTTGCTTAGTTTCGTTAGGCATCCAACAACTCAGTGTAACGGTGCCGAATGATACAAGCACTACCGCTTTCCGTTTATTCATCACTGCAATCCATTCCTGTAAAATTAAAAGATGGATGGATGAATAAATGGATAGGAATGCTAATTTAGCTAAAAAGAAAAATTTATCAAATTTAGCAATAGGAAATGGAAGATACAATGTGTACAAATTAATTCAACTGGTCAATTGATTTTTTTAAGCTCTCGTGTGTTTTCGAGATGAGGTCATCCTGCAGATAACATGACACCAATCAATAAATGCTTTTTTGAGTATTACATGCTATTGAATTATTGAGAACTCTGTCTATTTCTGTTAAATGTCTTCCTTCCAAGGTAAGGTATAGATTGAACTTACTTTACTTAGCGGTTGCGGTTTTGGTAAGGCAAGACCACCAAGTTCCAACATTTTGTGAATAGTTGGCCTTGAGATGTGAAAAAGTGGATCAGTATTTGTGAGAACATATGTCACTTGAGCTAACTTTTCCTGAAACAAATAATATTTGGTTCGAAAGCTTCGTTAACTATATCAGAATTGATCAAAATCTTACTTTTGGCTATTCAAAAGTTAGGTTGCAATTAATCGCTGATTTCTGACGAATTTTGAATTAACAACAAATTTTGATGCAATGAAAATCAAAAATCCTCGCTTATTTCCATTATTTCATTTCTGTCTTAATTTATTGGACACATATTCAATCTATTTTTTTCAACCTTAACTCTAATCTATATTATACTTTCAAATCGATAAATTGATCGCCGTAAAGTCGTCGAAACAAGGCTTGACATCTTATTGTATGATTATCCAGCAATTTAGTCGTTAAAATTGTTATGATGAGATTCTTCAGCCGTTGTAAATATGTCATCTTATCAGTATACTGTGTAAGCAAACCTGCAATATATTCTTGTTCTGTTATGGTTAAAACAAAAAAAAAAAGAAATAATAACACAACGAAAGATACTTGAGCTATGAGGAGAATAAATTGGTGCAATTTCAATGAGTGACTTTTTTACATGAGAAATAAAAATTTATTTTTAAAATATATTAATTAATAATGTATAATTAATTTAATAATTTACATGTTCCATTTTTATCATCTTTTTTTCCTAATGTGATACTTATTTTTGCACATGTAAAATTAAAACTAATTTTCCAATTTAATGCTTTTTTACAATTGCTGTTGCTAGATACCACAGTTTCATAATTAAGAAGTTTTAGTGTCAAATTTATTTCAAACTCTGAAAAGCTGAAAACTGTTAAAATTTACTTGGAATATAGCTAGGAATATTTGGTATACCAAAACATTCTATGGCATATTCAAATAGAGCAGTAGGACTAACGACAATATGAGCCGGTATACGAAGCAATTCAATTATTCCTGTAATTCGATTAGTAATTATTATATCAATTGAATAGAATTTAAGACTGAATAAATTCTATAATAGTACTGATGTATACAAATAAAGTGTATTATCTTTTTTGATTAGGAAAGAAATTGTTCTAAATTTTATTTCAACACTTCGAATTTGAGGGTATCAAATTTTATAATAGCTAACTTATCATTGCATGGCAAAAATTTGTTTTCTGCTTATATTTGTCAAAATTAGGCTTTAAAAGTTTTGCACTTGAAATTTATCAAATTCCATGAAGCCTATTTCTGTTATGAATGAGTGGTGCAGTATAAAAGGCTAAATATTGAATCAGGAGAAGATAAATAACACACCGGCAAAGCATTGGTTAAATTCGAAGATAGCTAAGTCAAACTTTTCAGATTTCAATTCTTGCATTATTTTTTCCTGCTTTAGTTGAAACTCACAATTCTTCAGAAGAGCATCCGACATTCGTTTCATAACCTAAATTAATATAACGGTATTTCTTTTTTTAAAGTTTGACAGTTACTCTGATGTCTTTTTAAAGCTTTTAGCGATAGTGATTTCAAATCACTCCGAAACTGCTTCATGAGCAAACTATTAAACAAACAGTACCGAAATCAATGAGAAAATGGATTGCTGATTTCGTTTCCATGCATCTTGAGCAAAAATTTCTACGTTCATTATTTTCGATATTTCCGGATCAGCGTCTATTTTTACTGTTTTAGCCAATTTAGAACCAGTGGAATCGGAAAATTCAAAAAGTACAGGAGCAAACTCGGTCTGCAAAATAACAAAAACAGACTTGGCGTTTATTCCTCAATCAAATTACATTACTTTTATTCATTCATCTTTCAAAATTTAAATAAATAAAAAAAAAAAAAAAAAAACACTTACTACATTATGCCCGGCATTAACCAATGTATCAGCGATTGAACCCAAAAATTTGGTGTGACTTTTACCAAAACGTGGATTATATACCAATATTTTATATGAATCATTCTGTGATGCATGAAATATAATAATGAGTGAAGCCAAATACCACTCAGCATGATACATTGTATTTCAGCACCAAATACTTCGATTACTTTCTACTGTAAAATGACAATTCGATGTTTCAGCATAATGCGTTCAGAGCAATTCACCTGATGTCCTTTGTTGGATTAAAAAATAATTGAAGTTCATTTTGTTTTCAAAAGTTTTTCATTGTATAATTCTTGACAGTCTAGTATAACCAAATTTATCTATTTTAAGAGTTTCAAGTACACAGTATTGGAAGATTTTTTTTTTTTGAATTGGTATTTGAATTCAAAATGGATTTTAGTGAAAAAGAAAGAAAAAAGAAAGCTGGGAATTGGCTGAAATAAATGAAGCACGCCCACTACGAATGTAAACCTCAATATTTTAAAGGACTGAAATTATTTTTATCAGTTTAGCTTAAGCAAAATGATATAAAAAAACTGTTTACAATAAAGGTTGTATTTAACAATTGAATATAACGGCAAAACTGATATAGTTTTTAATATCTTGTGACAACACACTTAACGATAGGTAAACATATTAATATGTGTTATCAATTTGTGAATCAAAATATATCTGAATAGGTAGATCTGCTTTTATTCGGTAAATTTTCCAACATTTTTTACTTCTTTATTACCACTATTAATCATCTATTTTTATTCTTTCATTTTAACAAAAACAGTTTTTTAGTGGAATTCGTTAACAGGAAATTAAGTCACATCTTTTCCTTTTTATATTTTAACTTATCAGTAAAATATCTTTTTTTCATCAAATCACCTTCAGTTTCATAGTTATGATAAATGTTGCAGGAAAATTGATCAAGTAGTCATTAGTAAGAATATCTCACTGATTAGCTTTGATTTAAAATTTCAAAAATCAGAAGCCTGCTCCCTTAACATTATCACTATCATTTAGATTCTCAAGGTGCTAATAATCTTCTTGATTTATCTGATTGCGCCAAATTATCTGATTGTCTTCCTTTGGATACGTGTAAAATACTTACACTTCACATTGCCATCAAAATTATATTGCAAACTTTGCACTTAATATGAATATCTTTGGAAAATGTGAAGAAACCAGAACAAAAAACTTTGAAATAGAAATGTCCATCAGTTAAGAATTTCGATATTAAAAATTTTTTCTTGCAAAACAAGCAAATTTTTCTTTGCAATTAATGAATGTAATGATTATTGACATAAATAATAATTAGAAGAACAATTTAATCATTGCTAAATAAAACTAATGCTCAATACTTTCTTTCACTGTTGTCATTTCTTCATTGGTCAAGTGTGAAAGTAAGAAGTCCAAAGTACAAAAGCAACTGCATATGGCTTATCAAATATGAAAAACGATTGCCATGTAAGTAAACAATAAGTTGAATCGAAATTGCAACTGCTCTTTCGCTCAACTGAGAAGTAATAATTGTTGCAAATTAAATTTTTGCTGCGAACAATTATTGCAATTAACAGAATTAATTACTAGCTTAATGAAGAATTATTTGCCTTCAGTTGGAATGTCAAGAATGACATTTAACTTATCATTGCTTTCCTTTCCAATTTTCAGATTTTTCTTTGGTTGATTAAATCATAGCTCACTAATTAGAGTTGAGTTCACTATAAAATTGATTTAATTCAATTCACAAAAACTCTTTGTTGATATGTTTCAAGAATAAGCATGAATTATACTTCAGGAAACGATTAAAATATTTGACTTAAGGAAACAGAAATGGACGCAAAAAACTTTGAAACTGAATGTTGCAAAATTTATCGGATAAAAGCAAATGTAATCATTCAGATGCATTTTGATTTACAAATTGATAATACATGTTAATATAATTTTTACTTATCAGTGTTCCTAATAAAGAGAAATTTTTTTAATCACAAATTTTAATTATTTCAAATATAAAAGCACGATGAAATCAGATTAAAAAGAAAGTGTGCATATTTTCAAGCTTTATATGTCGATCACTTTTATTACTTCTTCATATTCATTTCTCTAAGATTCAAGTAGGCACTAAAGAAACTACTGCAGAATTTCTAATCATTTCTGAAGATCACTGCACAGTTCTCACTATCGGTTTATTAATGATCTAAAATGTTAATTATTTACATGATGTTAATTAAGAATTTGCATCATTTATTACACAATATTGATGCACTTCATATCTAGAAGTGCTAAGTGAATTGATCCAACTACTTAGATGGCGATACATATGCTTAGTACATGTCGTAAGATGCGCAATTATGCGATTACAATTATTGACATCAAACAAACAAGATCAGATATTCACTTAACAGTGTTGATGTTGCATTGTGGATACAGTGAGCATTCTCGAGTAGATTGAAACGAAATTTAATGAACAAAATGTGATTTAATATTTTCTCAAGAAGACGAAAGTTTCCAGAACGCATTTCTTTATTAAACTGAAGTAAATGGCAGCTTAAGCACGATCAAATCTTTCAATCAACAATTCCTCATCTCTCTACATTGCAAGGAACTTTTCGTTAATTTCTCAATTTTCACTTATTATTTTTGATAGATTATCGATTAATCAGTGAGGATAAATTATTCCTGCATGAAATACCTCATAAATATAAATTAGGTCTCCAGATTTCAAACTATATTAGTAGTGCTTCCGGATAGCAGTAACTTCCGAAGCGAATTATACGTCAATTTTTAAGGAGAATTAATGCGCCTTGAGTTGTGTATTGGCATTTTTGAGGCCGCCAATGCAAAACGAATAGAATATATCCAATATATTTCAATCTCATTAACAAATAAAGCGCATGGCAAATATTACACTAATGGTCAAGTATAAGAAAGATATTTTAAACCTAATAAATGAAGGTTAAGAAATCATAACTTTAACTTTAATTATGTACAAAATGATTCGAAATTAATACTTTAACGACTCAAAAAAGGCAAAACAAAAAAAGAAACTAATTTCCCAACAATAGTCTTGTCGTTCAGTAGTAAATTTGCCACAACTACCACTGCGGTGGTAAACAATATTGGGGAGAAGGTTTTAGAATAGCTATGAGGTTGCAGTGCATTCACAAAATATACTAGGCATAAAAAAATTGATTTAACTCTGGAAAATTATAGAATCGTACGAAGGTCCTTATTCAAAATTTTACTCGAAATTTTAGACAGTCGCATATCACTAAAAAATCACTTCTCAATGAGTTACGTTCTATCAAGAAAAACGATCAAAATGAAGAGCAACCGTCGATGCAATTGAAAGAATACCTTGACAATTAGAAGTAATAAAATTCTATCACAGCACACAGTGATTAATTAACATGATTTAAAAAAAAAAAAAAAAAAAAAAAAAAAAAAAAAAACTAATCATAAAAATGACTACTTTAAATACAAAAACTTATCATCTTTTTAGATGTTTTCAATGTAAAAATTTGCTATTTGGAATTTACATAATCGAGTAGAAGTTGAAACCTGCCGATTTAAGAAAAAAAACCTATTGAATTTAACAATTATAAGACCAGCAGCAATTACTGAGTTCGGGAAATCACCGATGTTACGAAACATTTTTCCGTACGTGTCTTATAAATATGCTTAAACTAATGCTAAATTTGTAAAAGTAAGAAATTTCCCTATGAGAGTTCAGATTACGTTTGAGTTAAAAATTTTGCTGCAATTCCTGCTTTAAAATTTAGGCCCGTGGTTTCTTGATGACCATAGAATGATGATGGATGATTGAAGGTTAACCCATATCCGGACACTCTGCATTAATAAATAAAAGAATGCATTTTCCTGTGCTTTATGTAATCATTGCGACTCTTTGTTTTCATAGTACATCCAACATGGAACACTCGTAATTTTCCTCATCTAAATGACTCTCTTCTGATATTTGTTTCTGCAATTAACATATTCTGTCGTATCATTTGGTAATTAATTAAAATAATTTAATCATAAAATAAATTGCAGGCACATTAGGAACGAAAGTTAAAACTAACTTTCGAACAGGCTTAGGCTTAGGAGCCTTCGAACAATGCTTCATGTGAGAGTTCAGAATATTCTTACAGTTGAAAAATTTGCCACAATTTCCGCACTGAAATTTAGATCCGTGTGTTTTCTGATGGTTGTAGAATGATGATGGATGATTGAATGTTCGCCCACAACCCGACACTTTGCATTCATAAATAAAAGGTTTGGGGTGCGTTTTCCTGTGAACTATGTATTCCTTGCGACTCTTTGTTTTCATAGTACATCCGACATGGGGACACTCATAATTTTCCTCATCTGAAAAAATCTCTTATAACAATTGCTTTTGCAATTAATAGTAATTGATTAACCTACTTTTATAATAATTTGGAAACTAATCGCAAATGTCTGTGCTACTGAAATGAACTTATTTTAAATCTAAATTGCAGTTGTTTACTTTTTTTTGGCTATATTTAAATAAAAAGTTAGTAGTAAGTTTTGCGCTAAGTCAATTCCAGTTCTCGATTCTTTTCTATTTATATCTATCATTTCATGAAATCAAGTAAAACCAAAAAACTTTTTGGTTTAAATTTGTCGAATTATTAGAACAACATCAGCTACTATCTTTTGATTACTCTTCCTTTATGAAATTGAACATAAGTGCAAGGATTTTTTTATTGAAGTTGGATAAGTATCTCATTATATGCTGAATTTTGTATTTTCTTGCAAATCTACTAAATTTTATATTTTTATGTCATGGATGTTTCGCAACACATTTTGCATTACATTTCAGATTGATAAATTTGTTTGAAATATTGCTATTGGAAACTAACGAGAAACTTTGAAGCAACGCATTCTGTGACTGTTAAGGTTATTTTTATATGTGAAAATTTTGCCACAGTTTCCGCACTGAAATTTAGATCCGTGTGTATTCTGGTGACTGTAGAATGATGATGGATGATTGAATATTAACCCACAACCCGACACTTTGCATTCATAAATAAAAGGTTTGAGATGAGTTTTCCTGTGAGCTATGTATTCCTTGTGACTCTTTGTTTTCATAATACACCCCACAAGAGGACACTCGTAATTTTCCT